CATGACACATTTTACGAACAGAAACGTTTTTATGTTAAAATGTCCTGTTTTTGCGTTAGTTTCCCCTTTTTTCATCGCTTCGCTTCATGGCTTGACATTTTCATTTTATGCGACGCGTTTTGCTGGATGAACTTCCAGTTGACTAAGTGATAAGCTGTAAAGTGTAGATGATAACAGGCTCAAAATAACTGAGCGTCGTTACTCTATCTCTGCTCATTATGAAACTCAGCTTGGCCCACTTGTTATCGGAGAGGCGCTTTATAGGGTCTGTCAAATGAGAGCTTGGCACATAGGCCAGCTCGGAACTGGCCGAGCGCAGGAGCGATTGTTTTTGAGAAACTGCAGCTACGATATCGCGAAAACTTGGAATGTGTGTTGAAAGGAGTTAGTGCCGTCATTAGGCCAGCTGAAAAAGTGGGAATTGTGGGCAGGACTGGTGCTGGTAAGATTTATTATTCAATTAATTGAGTTGCACAAGAAAAAGCGGAGTTCAGATCAGGATAACGAAGTTTTTCTTAAACTTGAATTAATGGTAATAAAATGGATCATCGTTTCTAATATTGATTGTGAATAGTCTAAAATAGCCTGCGACTAGCCTTGCTTCCTAAAAAATTTGTTTTGATTTGTCTCCAAAACTGCTCAAATATCTTAACTTTTGCAGCTTAATACAAAAGCATATGTAACAGAAATAAACATATTCATTCGTAGTATCCAATATGTGATGGTGATGAGGAGAAAGTGCCTTTCTAGGCACAGAACTTTTAGATGGTTTCGAGGAGGAACTTGCCTCTAATTTGTTACTTTTCCTGAAACCATTAGCATGATTTTGCTAAATGATGAAAAGTTCAATTATTTAAAACCAAATTCGGTTGTTCTTGCAGGTAAAAGTTCGCTAACGCTTGCTCTGTTTCGGATAGTTGAACCATGTTCTGGACGGATCTTAATTGATGGTGAAGATATCACAAAATTACCATTGTATGATCTCCGCTCTAATCTCACGATTGTTCCGCAGGTACCTTTCAAAAGCTGAAATATTCGCTATTCTTCCTTGTGCTTTTTGCAGCTATGCGTGTATTCAGTATCTTTTTACATCGTTTTAAAAGCGCATTATAGAATGATCCTGACCTTATGTACCCGTGGTGTGTGTGTATGCGCTTATGTGCGCGCGCGCGTCTGTCCGAGTATTTCAATTCGGCAACCAGTCAAGCTCCGACGCTAAAATTCTGCCACCGGTTGACTAAGTGCCACTCCAAGGACCGCGGTACTAAACTTCTCGCACGCCTGGGCCCCATGTACGAGCACGCGAAAGTTTTGGCGGGAAAATCGCTAACTCCGCAACCAAGGAAGCTGGGAGGTTAAGATTTCGAGTTCAGCCCCAGGTCTGCATGGCTCTCGAAGTTCAGGAAATTAACTGTGCAACTACGTGGTACTCGGTCAGGAAACATCTGAAAATTTCAGTTTTCTAGTTCTTCTGGTCCCCGAGCTAGCAATTTTTCCGCTAAAAATTTTCGCGGACCCGTAGATGAGCCAGTATGCCACAAAAATCCTAGCTACTGTACTTCAAGCGATATAGCACGAAATACGGCAAAAACTCAGTGCCAGTGCGCGTCGCCAATGATTGATCTTAGAACAGGCTTAGCGATGAACGTGAACTGTTCACGGCATGTGTGGTGTGAAATCAACTTTTGATCTGCGCTTTTACCATGACCTGTAACTTCACGTCTGGAACAGAGGCTAGTGATATAACTTCAGTACAGACTAGGTCATTTGACGGATGTCGACAGGACGGGAATGCCGTTATTTCAGAAAATAGCCGTCTTCTTTTTGTATTGCCGCACTCGCCTGTTTCGCAGCAGCAGCGCAACTTATCGCAAAGTGCATGATTCCTTCAGCCATGATGCACGCTCTCAGAGTACTGGGTACCGTCACTTGTTTCTCATTTGATTTGAGTGAAGGATCCGGTGATATTTTCTGGGACGTTGCGCATGAATCTGGATCCGTTCGGCATTTTCGATGATGCAACAATATGGCATGCTTTGAAAGTGGCGCATTTGGCATCGTTCGTGCTTTCGTTCTCCAACAAACTGGAGCATCAGTTGAGTGAAGGAGGCGAAAATATCAGGTATGGGGTAGGGCCAAAAGCGGTTGTTGAGAACATCAATTTAGTTACTGTATAATCGTGCTGAAGGCAAACTGTTGCGCAGTTTATTTTAGAACGTAATAATTCTGACTGGATTATTTGAGTGTTTTTGAACTGCTGCTGGTTTTTATGCGTTTTTTTGCACCTGTGCAATGTAAAACGCATATTATCGAGGGGTTGTATGTGTGTACGCCTGTACCGATTTTTCATCTCGAAACCTACAAAAGTTGCGAGGCTGGAACTTAGCAAACTTACTAAGCATGCATGTACGAGCCTCGATCTCAAAAATGGACACTCTTGCCCGCATGTTTCCCACATACGGGCTCGTGAAAGTTTTTTTTGTGGGTAATGTGCTAACTCGGGAATTTGAAAAGCTAGAAAACTGGAATTTTAAGGGGATATTCCTCGTCCACGTAAGACTGAATGAGTTCAAACCCAACTCCCAGGTCTGTATGGTTCTCATCTACGGGTCCGTAAAATTTTTTTGCGGACAAGTTGCTAACTTAGGAACTAGAGAAGCTAGAAAGCTGAAATTTTAAGGTAATGTTCCCTGTCCACGTGCAATCAAATGACTCCAAAATCAGCCGTCAGATATGCGTGGTTCCCACATATAGGTCCGTGAAAATTTCTGGTAGGTAAGTTGCTAACTCGGGAACCAGAAAAGCTAGAAAGCTAAAATCTTAAGGGAATGTTTTCTCACAGTCATGGTGGCCAGTCTCAACTTTTTTAGCTAAAAGCATCCATATGCCGATCCAGGGGAGGGGATGATGAAGCGTATGTTTGTGTGTGTGTGTGTATGTGTGTGTGTATGTGTGTGTGTGTGTGCGCGTGTATGTGTGTGTCTGTCTGGGTATTTCAGTTTGGCAACCACGCATGCTCCGGGGCCAAAATTTTGCCAGTGGCTTCCTCGGCCAAATGCCACCCAAGGATCGCGGTACCAACCTTCATGCACGTCTGGGCCCGCGTATGACCACATGAGGGTTTTGGCGGGGAAATCGCTAACTTGGGGACCAGAAAGGTTGGGAGGCTGAAATTTCCAGGGGATATTCCCAGCCAACCTAAAACATAGAGATTCATCCTCCAATTAATTGTGGTACTCAAGTATTGCTCCTTGAAATTTTTTGGGGGAAGATCGCCAGCTTGGGAATCAGAAAAGCTGGAAAGCTGAAATTTTGAGGAGATGTTCCCCAATCACACAGAACTCAAAGTTTTCAAATTCAACCCCTAGGCATGCATGGTTTTCCCGTGTGGCCCGTGAAAATTCTTGGCAGGAAAATCGGTAACTCAGAAACCAAAAAAATCGGGAGACTGAAATTTTCAGAGGATGTTCCCAACCCAACTACAACTCAAAGATGTTGTGGAGGAGGAACTGCTTTGTTGGTTCCTCAGGTCGCTTTACCCCACAAAAAATAATTAAACTGTATTTCTGGTTCGTATCCTCAGTTATCTCCAGTGCACGCTAGTTGAGTAATTATACTGCCAACAAATATTCCTAAATTTCCCGAATTCGGCGGCTAGCAGACAGCGTGAGTACCATCAGGCGTTGATTCCTAGGTCAGCTAACGTTGTTCCGTCGTATATCGTCGATTACCTCAA